GTTGTGCCAAGAAATCTGGAGAACAACCACTTGGCCAACTGACTGGAAGAGATCTTCACTTCCTAGAATGTATAAAAGGAGGTGAATTGACACAGTTACATGTAACAGTGGACTTGAACATGGCAGAGAACACAAGGATGTTGGAGGACAGGGCAACATTTCAATCTGTGGTTTATGCAGTTGCTGTGAATTGTATTTTACTTGATAGCACATAAAATATTTAACAGCAATGTGTGTATGGGTACTGAAAAGTAATTATGCTGGTAGGAAGCATTTTTTCTGAATTACAGGTAATTCTAAGCAAAAACTTAAAACTTTTACTTCTTGATAAATAATGTCTTTTGTGTCAACTGTTTATTTATTTGTGGAAAAGTAGAAAGTACCCAGAGATGCTAAGATGCAATGTTAGGATAAATGGAACAAGAGCTGTCACCAGCACTAAAGTAAGTATTGGCCTCTTGAAAACCATGACTTATGAAAGGGGTAGTTGTCTCAAAAGTGAAAAAGAAATCAATAAATCATGACAGTGTGATGTTAGAAATAGGAACAGCCTGTTTTCAAACAGTTATTATTTGGTAACTTATGACTTGTTACTTATACTTTTGAGAGTCTACTTTTATATTGGTAATATGTTATAAAAAAGTAGACAATTCCACAGTCACTAATTATTATTAAAATTCCAGTGTTCCTCAAATAATGTTGAGACAAACACTGTTTGTCGTCCCCTGCAACATCTCATCTCATTGAGATTAGGAAGAGAGTATATTTAAATGCTAGATGAAGGCAAGGAAATAGCAGCGTTAGCACAGTCACTAGTCATTTAATTTTCTACACATACATCAGAAGTCAGTGACTTACATGCGACTACAACAGAATACCATCTGAGAGGAACCGGATCATCCCCTTGGGCTCTGAACTGGGAAATAAAAGCCAATTTTTGGAGATGCCTGTTCCTAAACTGGGGACTTCCTGTTAGGTGTCTGAGTAATCTGTGAATTCTTTTATGAAGGTTTTCAGTTCCCCATTTGACATGCCTTGAGAAGGGCCTGATAAGAGTGCTTTCGACTTTTGCCTCTTCACTCACTGGTTTACTCATCTGACAACTGTCTTTCAGATCCCCATTTCTGCACTTGTCTCATTCGTGGAGGCCCTGGAGGTAGGATACAGCAAACACAAAAACCCTTACCACAACCTGATGCATGCCGCAGATGTCACCCAGACGGTGCATTACCTCCTCTACAAGACAGGCGTTGTGGTAAGTACGGGCACAGAGCATGTGATGGTACCTTTCCTAGATGTGATGGTACCTTTCCTAGTAGAGATGTTCTTCCAAAGAGGTGGTGCTCACAGGAGCTCACTCTTCTGGGGACTCTAGTCATGGAAAGTCTTAGACAACTCCCTTCTGTTCCTGACATTTTCTCCAGACTAGACTTGAAACAGAGGACTAGAAGTGGCTTGCATCTTCACTGGTTATGATCCATTAACACATGACCGTCAATATGTTTCCAGATACGGAGAATGGAGATTCTCACACACTGAAGCAGCACTGAGTTTGTTTTAGAAAACGTTTGCTTTTGGTGTAAACCTCCAAGCCTTTCTCACAGACTAGAGTTATTTTCACAGAATCCTGGTGAAAGAGTGATTCAGCAGTTGGCTCCTGACTGAAAGGTCAGCAGCAGTTCAAACCTAACAGCTGCTCCTCGGGCGAAAGATGAGTCAGTCTGGCTCTGTAACAGCCACACAGTCTTGGAAAACCCTCTAAAGTCCTGCTTTGTCTGTAGGGCAGTTTTCAGTTGGAACTGGCCCCGTGACATGTCAGTTGTTGTTTTCATGGTTCTTATGTACATTTGATGCTTTCAACCTGCTAATCTTTGGTTCAAAGGGAGCCTTGATGGCTTAGTGATAAAGAATTGACAAAAGGCACCTTTCAGATCTACCAGGTGCTCTGTAGGAGAAAGTTGGGCCATCTTTTCGTGTGTGGCTTCCTGCCTCTGAAAGCCCACTGGAGGCTAAGCTATGGGTCTGTTCTAACTCAACAGTACACAACAACAACAATCTTAAGTTCTAGACATTTGAAATTTTTCTTGAGTCTTTGAACTCAATGAGGATATACTTTGAATCTGTATTTTGCATTTTTTTCCCCTTTTAACTAACCTGTTCTACTTGGTTAACATTTTTTTTACATCCTTGTTTCCATCTTATTTTTAAAAAATTTTTTAGCTATTAGCAACAGAAAACAGGTCTCTGTGACTTTTCACTTTGAAATCTCCTTTAGAATTGACATCAAGATAGACATTCTTTGGGTATAGCTATTAATTATCCCATGAAGCCAGTGCACATTTGTTATCTTCTGCAGAAGTGCATGTTGAAAGGCTTGGTCTAATCTCTCACTGAATTAAAATTGGAATTTAGTAGGAGGAGTGTGGGTTTTAGAGCTAGATATAGTTGGATATAAATCCCTTCTTAATTACTTATTAGATTTTATGACCTATGAAAAATTGCCAGGATTTCCTCATTTCTAAATGGTGAAAAATATTCTGCCTTCTGCAAGTGCTGTGATGATTAACAATAAATTAAATGCTCAGTTTGCCTGGTAGAGAAAGCACAACAATTAAGCATTGTTATTAAAACTTAGGTTGATTGTCCCAAAACCTCTTCTTATTTTTCAGTTCTTTCTTGAGGTAAGGATGAATTCTTTAAAAGATGTTATTTGAAAAGCTATTTAAATTTACATGTATCTGTAGGTAGATAGATCAGAACCTGACAAAGGGACCCTATGTGGCTTGATAAATGTTTCCTCCTAAAAATAGTTAAATGTGCTCTCACTGAAGCAGGAGACAAAACAGGAATATCCAACTTCTTACCACTCCTGAACATTTTACTGGAGATGTCAGCCAATGCAATACAGTTATTAAAATATTTGAGAAGCGTATATGAAAATAATTTGGCAATCTCCTTTTGAGAAATCAAGAAAACTAAGAAAAATATTAGATTTAATGCATGATCTGAGTAGGCTGTCAATGAAACATCTGTAGCCTTGGAAACCAGTTGAGGGTCTCCTTGAGTTAGAATCAACTCAATAGCAGTGGGTTTGGTTTTATTTTCAGCAAACAGGAAATAGTCATTTAAGAAGTATAAAAAAACCCTCACATTAACAAAAGTTGTTTAATAGAATTTTGAAAACGGGAAAAAAAGGAGATCTACTGAACAAAAGGGGAAAAACAACAAGAATCATGTTTAATAGAGATACTCTCCTAAATTATTACTGGAAGCCTTCAATACTACACAAATATTTTTCTGATATTCATCTATAAGTTCAAAGCCATGTCAATCAAAATACCAATAAGATTTAAATGAAGTGTAAGAATTCTTAGAAAATATTCACAATATTCACAGAATTCATTGCCATTGAGTTGGAACCAACTCTTATCTGACCCGCCAGCTCATTTTCAGAGGCTATTGTATGGAAGGAGATTTCTCTTCTTCTTCCATTAGAGCAGCTGGTGGATTCAAACCACTCACCTTTGGGTTAGAAGGACAACTTCCTACCCAGAGGGCTACCAGAGTGCCACATTATACAACATGATGTTATTGTTGTGTGTACCATCGAGTTGGAACCAACTCATAGCACATCCTCCAGTGAGTTTTCAGAGTCTCTACATCACACACTAGAAGACTATCCACCTTACTCCTGTGGAGCAACTGGAAGATTTGAATTGCATGCCTTTGGATTAGTAGCACAACTCCTTGTCACTATTTTTGTTAAAGAAAGGAAATTTTAAAAAAGAAAGAAGCAAAATTAATGATTTAACACAACACCTTCATCAAATAGCAAAAGGACAACAATCTAACCACACAGCCTCTAGAAGAAAGGAAATGGTAATAGCAAGAGCTAAAATCAGTGAAATAGAAAACGGAAAATAATCGAAACCATTAATAAAACCAGGAGCTGGTTTTTCGACAGGGTCAATAAAATTGACAAACCATTGTCTAACTTTACAAAAGAAAAAAAGAAGACATTAATAACTCAATTATTTAATGATAGAGGTGATATCACAACAGAACCAGAAGAAATGAAATTTGTAATATCAGAATACTATGAAAAGCTATACTTTCATAAATTTGGAAACTTAGAAGAAATGGACAAATTCCTTGAAACTTATGCCCTACCCAGATGGACAAGGACAGATGCAGAACATTTCAACAGACTCATCACAAAAGAAGAAATTGAACAGATCATAAAAATATTCCCCCATAAAAGAAGTCCTGGATTGGATGGCTTCACAGCTGTATTCTACCAAATATTCAGAGAAGATTTATCACCAATTCTAGTTAATTTATTTTTAAAAAGCTAGAAAAAGAAGGAACACTCTCAGAGACAATAGATGAGGCAAGCATAACCCTTAAGCCAAAACCAAGCAAAGATATTACCAAAAAAGAAAACTACAGACACAAAAATCCTTAACAGAATCCAAACCTATAGAACGCAAAAGCACATCAAAAAATAATTCAATATGACAACAGGTATGCAAGGAAAACATCAGAATGACAATCAATATAATTCACCACATTCACAAAGCAAATAACAAGAACCATATGACCTTAGCAATTGATGCAGAAAAGGCATTTAACAAAATCCAACACACTTTCTTGATAAAAACACTCAGCAAAATTGTAAAAGAAGGGAATTTTCTCAACATAGGGAAAAGTATGTATGCAAAACCAAAAGCAAATATCATCCTCAATGGAGAAAGACTGAAAACATTTTCCTTGACAAGGACCAGACAAGGATACCCACTGTCACCACTTCTATTCAATTTATTGTATTGGACGTATTTAATAGGGCATTACAACAAGAGAAGGAAATAAAAGGCATCTAGATCTAGGTTAAACTGTTGCTATATGCAGATGATATGATAGTATACACAGAAAACCCCAAGGACTAAAAGAAAAATCTTTTAGAGCTAGTGGACAGAGTAAGGTGACAGGATACAAGATCAATATCCAAAAATCAATGGGATTCCTCTTCAGTTACAAAAAGCACCCAGAGAATGAAAGCAAGAAAACAAAAGCATTTATAATTTATTACTGTTGTTGTTACTATGTGCTGTAGAGTCTCTTGCAACTCATAGTGACCCTATGTACAACAGCTCTGAACCCTGCTCTATTCTGTGCCAGCATTATTGTCTCTGGCACACCTACCCCCATCACCCTAACCACTGAATCAATCCATGTCATCAAGGGTCTTCCTCTTTGTGCTGTCTTTGCATCCTCCCAAGCATGATGACCCTTTCCAAGGTCACTTCTTGCAAAATGCCCAAAGTACGTCACTGGAAGCTACAGAAATCCTTGCCTCCAAGGAGCAGCCTTGTTTCACCCTCTCTAGGATGAACCTGTTTGTCCTTCTAGCAGTTCATATATTCAATACTCTTTTCCAGCACCACAGCTCAAAGGCATCTACTCTCTATCATCTCTAAACATTGTTCAGCTTTCTGATACATAGCAAGTAATTGCAAAAACTATGGCTTGGATCAGGTGCACCTTACTCTACAGACGGACATCATTTCGCAGCAGTACCTTGGAGAGGTCCCTGAGAGCCAACTTACCCAATGCAATCTGTCTTTTCATTTCCTGGATGCTGGTGCCAAGAAGGTTGATTGTGGAGCCAAGCAAATGAAAATTATTAACAGTCTCAATCTCTTCACTGTCTATCATGTTGTTGCCAATTGGCCCAGTGGTGAGAATCTTTGTTTTCTTGATATTGAACTTTAATGCATATTGAAGGCTGGGAGTCCGTGATTGAGATACTTGGGAGTAAACCTTACTAGAAACACAAAAGACATGTACAAAGAAAACTACAGAACATTTCTTCAAGAAACAATAAAAGACCTAAAGAAATGGGAAAATGTGCCCTAATCATGAATAGGAAGACTCAATATAGTGAAAATGACAATCCTATCAAAAGCAATCTACATGTTCAGTACAATCCCAGTACAGATACCAAATTAATTTTTCAAGGAGATTGAAAAGTACATTATTAAGTTTATTTGGAGAGGAAAGAGACCCCAAAGGAGCAAAGGACTTTTGTAAAACAAAAATCAAGTAGAAAATATAACACTCCATGACCTCAAAACCTACTACACAGTTTGGTAGTAACCAAAACAGCAAGGTACTAGTACAATGACAGAATGGAACCAATGGAACAGAATTAAGAACCCAGAAAGGGACTACCCTATGTTTAACTGACATTCAACA